AGGGAGACCTAAACATTCAGACCATAGCCAAGAATATGTCTCCTAAAGCTGCCAACTCAAATGTTCTATTATTTGGTTTTGATTCTTGAAACTCTCCAGCAGAACCTACCTACATTTAATTATGATCTGCATGTTTATAGTTTTATGACATGTAGAAGACATACTATTTGTCTTAAGGGATTCAGGAAGGACTGCTATTTTGATCCTTCACATTTGGAATTATGTTCCTGATTGCATGCTATAATCAGAGGATTCCCAGAACTGCACCTACCAACTGCCTTGATAGCCGAATCAAAGTACCTGGCAGTTTTATCTATCTCACCAGCTCCCTCCACATGGCTTTCTTTTATACTTGTAATTTCTGGCCCACATTTTTTAAAAGTAAAAACAGTGTCTTACTTCTATTCCTTCTTCTGCCACAGAAAGTGGAAAGAGCAACAAATTAATAGTTAGAAAACCGTGTTTGAGTTCAAACTTGGCCACCAATGTGCCACACAGAAAATCATTACCTATAGCAAAAGCTGAGCCTCCTTGTGATGGCCATGTGCCTCTCTGCAGCCTGGTATTCCATTCTTCCTGACATCCATTACAAATCCCCATGCGGCACCCAGTCCTGACCACTGTCAATCACCTACCACAACCTATCCTGCCCCATAAAATAATCACAGCACTTTTCTTCTGTATCAAAGCTGAATCCTGTGAAGGTCCCATCCTCTCTCTAGGAGACCCAGGACTGAACCCATCCTGTTCCACATCAACCATCTCCAAAACAACAGCCCTTGGCATCACGTCTCCTCCAGTATTCTTTTACCCTCATACTATTTCCTCTCTGCCTGATCTTTCTTCCTTCCCATTCTTTATCTCAAACATTTAACAGTGCCTTCTGAAACACCCATGCTATGGTCAACAAATGCCTCAATATTCTTTATCTCTTGGTTAACTGTTCCCTACACCCCTTGGCTACACTGGGAGGTGAAAAGGATGATGTTTTGGGGATAGAGTACCTAGGAGTGCGAAGGTCCTAGGTTGTAACTTGGCTATATGAGTGTTCATTTTCATATTCTTTTAATCTGTACATATTCATTACATATAGCCTTTATATGCATGATCTGCTTCCTCATTTTAAAATATTTTATAAAAACGCAATCTCTGTTCTTTTGAGGCACATGTCATTTAACCATAACACTCAATCCCTTTTCATCAGTCTCTGTCAATTATTGAAGTCCTGATTGTTCTCCCTCATCTATTGCTGCATTGATAGATCGTCTTCTCCAGCAAGCACCTACTATCAATCTGGTTGATTCCAATATTCAACACGTGACCTGTCCAACAAACTGGATTCTGAGTTCCTTGAGCTCCTTGGTTCAAAGTCATTTTCTTCTTCCCTCTATCAGCTGCCCTGAACTGTTCAAATCGGTAATGTAGAAAATCTACCCTGTAACTCCAACACTACCTTCCAGGTGTTGGCTTCAGTAATCCCCTTTTTACCTGGGCTGGACTGTGAGACCAGCAAAGCTGAGTTAAGGGAACCAGTGTTATATCAAGCAATCCCTGTCCTGCCCTGGGAGACAGAATCCCCACAATGCTCACTTATACAGTCAGTTCCAGGCTGAGGCCTGAGGAGTCCATCCTCCTGCAATGGGAGATGCAGCTCCCAGTGCCAAGGTGCTATCAGCTGAGAAACAGAAGGTCCCTGAAAGGCCACTCAAGTGACCTCATGAGTGGCTGCAGTCTAAATGTTAAAGATTTTTTTTTTTTTTTTTTTGGTGGGTTACTTCTATTTGGATTGGTTGAACTTATCAACAATTCATATATTTTGATTGGTGAGGTAACTGCAAACGCAGCTGCTTCCAGGGAAGCACTAGTTGACCACTTATTTTTCACAATTTTAACTTTAAAACATAAATGTTGCCATTAGTGGTCAAGTCAATGTTGTCAACAATGACGTTATCTGATAAATCACACGTTCCTGATTTTAATTCCCAATTCCCATTTAAGTTCAGATTCTCTTCTCAAAATTCCATGGGGACTGTTCTCACAACTGCACAGACACCTTAAAATCCATATGTCCCAAGACAGAAGTCATTATCTTCTCCCTCAAACCTGGTCCCGTTCCAGAATTCTAGAGCTCAGTAACCAGATGAGCATATCAGGGGTCATCTTTGATTCCTCCTTCTTCCTAATGTCCTGAATCCAGTCAAATACCAGGTCCCATCCATTTTACCTTTTATTTTTTTATTTTATTCATTTATTTAGAGACAAGTTCTTGCCCTGTCACCTAGGCTAGGGTGCAGTGGCATGATCACAGCTCGTTGCAGCCTTGAACTCCTGGCCTCAAGCAATCCTCCTCCTGCCTCAGCCTCCTGAGTGTCTATCTGGGTATACAGGCCTGGGCCACCATCCTGGTTAACTTTTTACAAAATTTTTCTTTATAGAGATGGGGTCTCTCTATGTTGTCCAGGTTAGTCTTGAAATCCTGATCTCAAATGGTTCTCTGGCCTTGGCCTCCCAAAGTGCTAGGATGACAGGCATGAGCCACCATGCTCAGCCAGTTTTTATTTTTTATTATTATTATTATTCTTTAGTACAGATGGGATCTAACTATATTGCCCAGGCTGATCCCACATTTTACCTTTTAGATATTTTTTGAACCCATCTCCACTGCCACCATCCTTATCCAGGCGTTCTTTAGCTCTGTCTATAGCAACAGCTTCCCCATCAGTTCCCTGTTCCTGTGCCTGCCTCTCTCCAGGACATTTCTTCCATGGAAGTCTAAGCAGTCTGTTCAAAATTCATGTCCTTTTCTTGACTCTTAGGATATAGTCCCAAATCCCTATTGACTTACAGGAAAGTCCATGCCCTCTCCCACCTACTCTTTTGGCATCCTCTACCACCACTTGACCCCCTAGTTCTCTCCACTCCAACCAGGCTGTAGCTCTTCAGTTTCTCAAACATGCTATGCCACTTCTCACATCTGGGTCTTTGCACAAGCTGTCCCCCCTGCCTGGTATGCCCTCCTTCCTTTCCATTCAGCTAATGCATTTATCCTCTTGTCTTAGCTAGTGGACACTGTCTCAGGGATGCTTCCTTGACTCTCTAGAAAAGGTTATGTTAATTTGCAATATGCTTCTGTAGCACTCTGAATTTTTTTCATTGTCGAATTTAGTTATTCATATATTTGTTTATCCCATAAAAATAAACAACTACTACATACCCCTAAAAATTAAAATGAACGCCGGGCATGGTGGCTCATGCCTGTAATCCCAGCACTTCGAGAGGTCAAGGCGGGCCGATCATGAGATCAGGAGATCTAGACCATCCTGGCTAAGATGGTGAAACCCCGTCTCCACTAAAAATACAAAAACAAAATTAGCCGGGCGTGGGGGCAGGTGCCTGTAGTCTCAGCTACTTGGGGGGCTGAGGCAGGAGAATGGCGTGAACCCAGGAGATGGAGTTTGCAGTGAGCCAAGATTGTGCCACTGCTCTCCAGCCTGGGCAACAGAGCAAGACTCTGTCTCAAAAAAAAAAAAAAAAAGTAAAGAAAAGCTTTAAAAAATTAAAATTAAAAAATAAAAATAGAAAATAGACATAATTATTTAATGTTTGCCTTCTCCCATTAGAATGCATGTTCAGTGAGGACATTAACGTATCTGTGTTGTTCATGGCCATATCTTCAGTGCCTTGCCAATGCTCAACACATAGTCAAATCTTAATAAGTAGTTGCTGCTTAACCTACAGAATGGGAGAAAATTTTTGCAATCTATCCATCTGGCAAAGGGTCAATATCCAGAATCTACAAATAACTTAATCAAATTTACAAGAAGAAAACAAATAACTCCATCAAGAAGTGGGCAAAGGATATGAACAGACACTTCTCAAAAGAAGACATTTATGCAGCCAACAAACACGAAAAAAAAAAACTCATCATCACTGGTCATTAGAGAAATGCAAATCAAAATCACAATGAGATACCATCTCCTGCCAGTTAGAATGGTGATCATTAAAAAGTCAGGAAACAACAGATGCTGGAGAGGATGTGGAGAAATAGGAACGCTTTTACACTGTTGGTGGGAGAGTAAATTAGTCCAACCATTGTGGAAGACAGTGTGGCAATTCCTCAACGATCTAGAACCAGAAATACCATTTGACCCAGAAATCCCATTACTGGCTATATACCCAAAGGATTATAAATCACTCTACTATAAAGACACATGCACACACATGTTTATCGCAGCACTGTTCACAATAGTAAAGACTTGGAACCAACCCAAATGCCCATCAATAATAGACTGGATAAAGAAAATGTGGCACATATACACCATGGAATTCTACGCAGCCATAAAAAAGGATGAGTTCATGTCCTTTGCAGGGACAGGGATGAAGCTGGAAACCATCATTCTCAGCAAACTAACACAAGAACAGAAAACCAAATATCACATGTTCTCACTCATAAGTGGGAGCTGAACAAAGAGAACACATGGACACAGGGAGGGGAAAATCATACACCGGGGTCTGTTAGGGGGTGGGGGGCTAGGGGAGGGATAGCATTAGGAGAAATACCTAATGTAGATGGCAGGTTGATGGGTGCAGCAAACCACCATGACATGTGTATACCTACATAACAAACCTGCATGTTCTGCACATGTATCCCAGCAACTTACAGTTGCTGCTTGAGTGACTGAAACACAGCTCTTCCTAGTTAAGGATTTCATTTCGATGTGCAGCTAAAACCTAAGCACTAATAGTCCATTGTAGCTGTGTTTTCCTAAAGCCCTTTGACCTTTATTTTCCATTTCACAAAGTTTGTTATGTATGTGATATATTGCCCTCTTTCTCTTTTCCCTCTTCCCAGTGATGCGTCAAAAATTATTGCATTTTTATTGGGTGAGGCCCAGGTAATCTCTGTTTATAGCTCTGACCTTTCTGGGTGCAAACACAAAGTGAACTTTGGTTTATCTCCTGCCATAATGTAGCTGCTAATTACTGGCAAGCAGGCTGTATTCCACGGCCCATGTGACCAGTTGGGCATGACCAGAGAGAAGCGTGGGGAAGAGTGGGCTGAGGGACTCCACTAGAGGCTGACCATCTGGATTCCCTGCCTCCCAAGGAGCCCAACAGAGCAAAGCAAGTAGGCACAAGGAGTATGGTTCTAACGTGATCGGGGTCATGAAGACGTTGCTGTTGGACTTGGTTTTGTGGTCACTGCTCTTCCAGCCTCGGTGGCTGTACCTGACTTCCCAGGTGAGTCAGAACTGCCACAATGGCAGCTATGAAATCAGCGTCCTGATGATGGACAACTCAGCCTTTGCAGAGCCCCTGGAAAACGTGGAAGATGCGGTGAATGAGGGGCTGGAAATAGTGAGAGGACGTCTGCAAAACGCTGGTAAGAAAATGTTAATAGAATCCTCCTCCACTCTGTTACTACCTCTGGGGACAAAATGTTACTAAGCAAAGACCTTGTGTTCTTTGTCTGATCACACAACTTTCTCTAAGGGCTGTCCCTAAACCTCTATTTCATGACAGTAGATCCTTAGAGAGTAGAATTTGAACCCTATTATGCTGTGCTCACTCACACTTCACCTTGCTCTGGGACTAGCCCTGACTCAGGAAATGTAAAGTGTTCACAGCAGTGAAATGTCCCAGTTAAAACTGGGTTTAGGCCAGATGTTGTGGCTCACGTCTGTAATCCCAGCACTTTAGGAGGCCAAGGAAGGAGGGACACTGAGCCCAGGAGTTCAAGACCAGCCTGGGCAACATAGCGAGACTCCATCTCTTCAAAAAGAAAATAAATAAAAATAAACTCAGTTTATTGCCCAGTTCCAGGAAGGCATCATGTTTCCTTCTGTACACAGAGGTAAGATTTGGTCTAGACCTAAGATTTCACAGGGATACTAATGAAGAAGATGAATTCAGTCAGTTTCACATAGACACCAAGTCTTTCTTTGGGCCTTTTATCCAAAGACATTTGTCTCTAGACTGTTCACTCTTTTTTTTTTTTTTTTTTTAGATGGAGTCTCACTTTGTCACCCAGGCTGGAGTGCAGTGGCATGATCTTGGCTCATTTCAAGCTCCACCTCCCGGGTTCACGCCATTCTCCTGCCTCAGCCTCCCGAGTAGCTGGGACTACAGGTGCCTGCCACCACGCTCGGCTAATTTTTGTATTTTTAGTAGAGACAGGGTAGCCTGTTCACTCTTTACATATCCTGTGGCTGTCATTACCAGACATAGTTAATATAAAACATTTGCAATCAAATTCATTGTTGCAGTTCTTCATTGTATCTTTTAGTTATAAACATAAATTTTATAACATTACATAAAATGTGTAAAATAAAGGGGGAAAAAAAGCATCCATGATTCCCAGCCACCTGGATGTTTCCAGTCTGTTTTCATGTGCTTCTTAGTTTCCTGTTTTTAAGAATGTGGTTGGTGATCACTATGGCATAGAAACAATTTTGAATCCTTCTGGTTCACTTCACATTATTGCACAAGTGACTTTCCAAGAGCGGCATGGCCTTTCTAGTCATCACGTGAATTGATGTGTAATATCCACTGGATATTATAATATCAAGTATATATCATATCCACTGGATATAAATTACCTAATTTGGGGGATACATATGTTAATATATATAATAATTCTCTGATGTAGGATATTTCATCTGTTTTAAACTTCTCATTATTTTTATAATACTTCAATGAGTATTTTCATGTAGTTTTTCTGCATTCCCTGAGATTAGATTACCAGAAATAGACTTACTGAGTCAATGAGTATTTAATGCATCTTAATGGTTATTTGTGGTTTTAAGGATGGTATGTCTTAATTGTCTCTATTTAAAATTCTGTGGAAGTAGGCCAGCTGTTCAGATATGAATAATAAGTTACTTCTGTGCACACACAACATCTCTGCAATTCTGAAACTAGATTCACACATAAGTGAACGGATCTGATCTAGAGCCATAATGGAACGAGGAGGTCATAAAATCCCCTTATTTACCAAGGCAATGTGGTGCAATGGAAAGAACACTTGATTTGTCCTTTGAGGACCTGGATTGGGATTCCTGCCCCAAAGTTTTCTCTCTCTGTGATCCTGGGTTAGTCTCCCTGAACCTTGGTTTCTTCAGTTACTAAGTACCTGTCATGGGGTAGCTAAGTTCTAGGTACTTCAATTACATCACCACTTTAATCACCACTGCTCTGTGACGTTAGCATGGTTGACACTGGTTTCACAGTAGGAGTTCAACAACTTTGCTAAGGTATTTAGGTTGTCTGTTTGAAGTGAAATTCAGACCCACATCTATCTGATCCCAGGGAGTACATGGGTCACTCTTTGGAATCCATCGTAATATCTTTACCCAGTGTGAACTAACTTTCTAACTAAAACAAGGCAGTGGAACATTACGGTTAGAAGCAGATATTTGGAACCTGACAGATCTTGATTTATTTTCCAGCCAGAGCATTCTATGACAGGTATGACCTTAAGCAGCTAAATTTGGAACCTGAGTTCCAAACCTATAAATTAGAATAAGTGGTAGTTACCTCATATGGATACCAAGTGGATTCAATCAGAAAACTCATATAAAGTACCTCCTTCATTGACTGAAACATAGTGAGAACTCAATAAATAGTAGTTTTTGTTGTCATTGTTGTTATTGTTGAGGACGTTAATGTAGTTGTTTTTATTGTTGCTGTGCTGTTGCTACTGCTAGAACATATTACCAAGCACCTAAAATAATTAAATAGTATATTAGTTAGAGCCTTGGTCCCTGACTCATACAACCTGAATTTGAATTCCTACTCCATTATTTACAGCTGAGTGACATTGGGTGCGTTGTTTATCATCTCCAGGTTTCACTCATGTCATTTGTAAAATACAGTTATTAGTGGGCAAGTTGTTAAATGGATCATTTAAGTGGAGAGCTCTTTGGAGATGAAGGAATGAGCTGTGATGCCGAGACTTTTACATCTGTTAATGCATTTTGTTGGATGGATATGCATGCATAGTAAACACAAAACGTACAGGTGTTGGAGGGAAAGATAGCTCGTGTTCTAAACATGTTGAGCATCATTATGTGGGAAAAATTCTAAGACAATATATCTGAGGATTACATTGAAGACAAGTAAAAGTTCAGGCATTATAGGTGATGTTCAAAGGGGAAATGACCAGTATTTTTTCTAGGAATCAGAAAAGCTTTGAGGGTCTTGAAGAACATTCAGGATCTAGTGGGAAAGAACATGAAAAAAAGAGATTCCTTCGACTTCATGACATCACCTCCCTGAGAATATATGGTTCCAAGGCTAATCACATGACCCATACCCTGGGTGTGCTCCCTCGTGCTGAGCCGGTCCCACCAGAGGCTTCAGCTTCATGTTGGTCCATGTTGGTCCAACCCCATCCTTAAAGCCTTCGATAGGAAGAGAGAGTTCTGAGCTCATCCCATATTGTTCAGCTTTCCCATCCTCCCAGGAATGAGATATCATTGTGGGACGGACAGTGCCGGTAGGAGAGGATGAAAAGTTGCAGTGGGAGAAATGGCTTATTTTAAAGGTAAACCTTTGATTTGAAGTTATGTCATTGTCCAAAAAATGTTTAGTATTTTCTAGAGAAATCACTTGAGTTCTGGAGTGATAAAAAGGAAGATATTACCCCCATCAAATTAAAAATAAGAGAAAGTAGTACACATACAAGTAAAATATTGAGAGGCAGCATATTATACTACGCTCCATAGAAGCCGTTCTCAAATATTTTGGTATTAGGACCTATTTATTTATTTTTATTTATTATTATTATTTTTTGAGACAGAGTTTCGTTCTTGTTGCCCAGGCTGGAATGCAGTGGTGTGATCTCGGTTCACCGCAACCTCCACCTCCCAGGTTCAAGCGATTCTCCTGCCTCAGCCTCCCGAGTAGCTGGGATTACAGGCATGCACCACCACACCCAGCTAATTTTTTGTATTTTTAGTACAGACGCGGTTTCTTCATACTGGTTAGGCTGGTCTCGAACTCCTGACCTCAGGTGATCCGCCCGCCTCAGCCTCCCAAAGTGCTGGGATTACAGGCATGAGCCACCGCGCCTGGCCTAGGACCTCTTTAAACTCTTTAAAATTATTGAGGGTGCTGAAGAGTTACGTTTATGTGATTACATGCATCAGTATTGATTGTACTGAAAATTAAAACTGAGAAACATTTTAAACATTTGTTTATAAATTCATCAAAAATAACAAATAAATACCTGTTAGCATAAATAATATTTTTATTAAAGAAAATCTATATTTCTCAAGCCAAAAAAAAAAAAAAAAACAAGTGGGTGAGAAGACTGGTTTACACTTTTGCAAATGTCTTTAATGTCAAGCTTAATGGTAGATATCTATATTCTCATATTGGCTTCTACATTCAATCTGTTGCAATAATATATGTCATATAGCCTCTGGAGAACCCTATCATATGCTCATCAGAGAAGGAGACTGGAAAAAGTAAGGAATGTCTTAGTATAATTATAAAAATAACTTTGACCTCATGGATCCCCTGAAAGGGACTAAGGGTACCTCAGTGGCTCATACTTGGAGAACTGCTGTTCTACAGCATATTAAGTTCTAGAATTAGACTTCCCTAAGTTCAAATCCCTGCCCTACTACTTACTAGCTGTGTAGCCTTAAACAAGTTAATCTACCTCTCCAGACCTCCATTGTCTCATGTTTAAATAAGGATGACAAAATATTACCTTGAAGGATTCAGAGAGGATTAAGTGAAAAAATACCTGTAAAAAATCATAGCCCAAAGCTAGGCATATAGTGAAAGAGATCACCTGGCTCTATTCTGTTAATAAGTGAATGAGGAACTGGGGCTTCAGTAGGGAAGTCACTTGTGCAAGGTCACACTCAACAGATGTTGGTTCCCTTTTTCCCAGGCACTGTGCCCGAGTTTCTACTTCAGTTTAGCTGTATCAGTCATGGGCTGCCTGGAGCACTGGATTTTAAAGTGTCATTTTCACTGTCCTTCATGGTGGTAGGAGAGAACAGAGCCCTCATAGAGACAGGAGGTCAAGAGAGAGGAGCTGCAAGTGTGGCCATCTTCCTGTGACTGTGTGCTGCCCTTCACGTCACTTTCTGAGTCCTCTTGCAGTGTTCCAAGACCCTCTCCAACCCTATTTTCTACAGTTCCTCACATGCCCTCTGCCATTCCCCCAGGTGCACTGTAGCCTCATTCATTCTGTTCTCCTCATTTCAAATTATCTATATCCTCTCTATTGGCATGAGAATGAAAGAAAATAAAGGGCATATGGGGCTTAGTACTGAAGCTGGCTCATGGTTACACTCAATTAAGTGTGAATTGCTATTAAACCCATCACTCCCCTCTTCTCTTCCATTAAATATCCCTGACTGGTCTAATTACATTGATGTCTCCTATTTGGTTAGTCCTACCAAAGTACTGGCATCTCTCATTAAGCTCTCTTATAAATAAAGTATCAGGGTTTTCAAACTTAAAGCAAGGCATGACTTGCAGCCTAGTTGGTAGACATCTCTCAAGTGGCTATAGAAGTACAAAGACTCCTCTATTCTTTGAAAGAACAAGTCTCTACCTTTTAAAACATTATTTGTTCAGAAGAACAACTTCTGTTATAGACACGCTTTGCTCTTTTAAAGGTGTGATTAAAAATTATCCAATTTTACAAACCTGGTTTTAACCTCATTTTACATGCGAGAAACTAAGTCAGAGAAATTAAAATGGCTTGTACAAGAACACATAAGAAATCACTCATAATCCCGGACTGTGGACTGAGGTTTCCAGACTCCCTGTGGACTTGACAAACTTAAGAACATCTCTGCTTAGGAATCAGACATTTGTCCTGATTATTTTTTAATGGAAGGAACCAAAATGTAATAGACAGATTGAGGTCAAATGGTTCTGCTATAACTTTCTAAAACGTGGTGCCTAGCAATCCCCAGGGATATCACTGGCAAGACCCTTGCTTTCATCTAAATATGGGAGTTCTCCATTATACAAAGACCCCAAACCAGAATGAACATAATTCACTTTGGCTTTGGGAGTAGCCCACAGAGGAAATGCCTAACACCAGGAATGGTGTTCTGGTCAGTAAGGCCAGCCATCCAAACAGATATTTCAAAGAGAAACTTGTTTTCAATTTATAAGAGGAGAAATGTGTGAGTCAGAATGAAATCCGAACAAAACTCTCATCTAATTTAAGATGCTAATGAACATATTTTTGTTTTCTTTATCCTTGATGAAAAACATTTTAAAGTAAGAGGACGTATTTTAAAGACAAAGGGGTTTTCTGGAAATTTTGTAATGTTACACAATCTCCTTCCCTGTCTACTAAGAAACAAAACAGAATTTTGCAGCACCTTCTTTGGGAAAAATAGATGACAGTTAGACTGTTAACCATGTTCATTTCATGTGAGAAGTGTGGCCACGGCTGCAGGGAACTTCCTGAGGGCATGCAGGAAGTATTTTTCTCATCGTCTATTTACTCTGTATCTTGAATGCTCCAGGAGAGACAGGGGCTAAAGATTGTAATACAGCAAGATTCGTTGAGAACAAATAATCATACCCATTGATAAATTTTGGATTTAACGCTTTGATGCATCACTAAGCTGGTAAAAGGCCATTCCCTCATGTATGAGTTTTGATTTGAGATATCAAAAATGTATAATTGATTTAGGACGAGACAAACATGGCTTCAATTTCAGATCCCACTATTTACTGCATATGGGACTCTGGTAACAAACTCAATAAAGCTTTTGTCTCAGGCTTTGATTTGTAGAAAACTGACCAAGACACCCCTTTTGAGCAAGAATGGTAAATCTGAGACACAGATGTGACAGCTTTTTATCAATAAGTATGATTGCATTAATAACTATTTCTGATGGATGTATTTCAACTGCTTAGTGTCCTCTCTATCTGGAAGTGTGACAGGCATCTCACACCTGACTTGTCCACCTCCATCACCACACACACCACATTAGCAAACCTGCTCTTCCCACATTCTTTCTCATCTTGGTCAATAGGAGTTCCCTTCACCCACTTGCTCAGGTCAAAAATATTGGCGTTATCCTGAGTCCTCTTTTTCTCATATTTCATATTGCATTTATTAATTTCCTACCTTCAAAATACATCCTAAATGCAACCATTTTTCTCTACTTTTGCTCCAACTACTGTAGTCCAATCTAACCTAGGTTATGAAGAGCATCTTCACTAGTCTCCCTGCATCTGTTTCTGTTGCCCACAATCTATTCTCTGCATCAAGATCCAGAGATGTCCTTTAAAAATAATAGTCAGAAAATATCATTTCTCTGCTCAAAGTCCTCCAAAACTCTTATCCTGGAATAAACTGAAAGCACTTACTAACGCCTACATGGTCATGCACGGTGTGGCCCTCACTCTGACCTCACATCTCACCCACACTACCTCTCACTTACTCTGTCAGGACCACACTGGCCTCCCTGTTCTCCCTGAAATGCCAAGAAGGGTCCTGCCTGGGATTTTTGCCCTTGCTGTTCCCTCTGACCAGAGAAACCATGTATCTCATGGCTCAGTCTTCACGCAGGTCCCAGTTCCCCCTAGGGCTTTGGTGACCACCCTATCAGAAATGCATTACTCTGTGTAACGCCCAAAGAAAATGTAAGCCTCTTGAAAGCAGGAACTTTTGTTCAATGCTGTATCATGAGCACAAAGAAGAGCGCCTGGCACATAGCAGGAACTTAGTAACTGTTTGTTGACTGGATGGATAAAGATCAGAGACCAAGGAAGACTGCAGCCTCCTGCAAGTTGGCAGCAAACAGCACCTGGGGACCATGAAAGAACAGGTTATCATAATGTGTATGTCTTTGCTTCCCAACACTTTCCAGTCCATACAGGAGACTTGCTGCATCTAGGGTTGTGAAAAGATGAAGAGGGCGGTGAACACAATGAAAATGTTCTAAAACTGGACCACGTGGATGGTTGCACAACTATATATATTTACTAAAAGTCATTGCATTGTAAACTCAACATGTGTGATTTTTATGATGGATAAATTATACCTCAATAAAACTGTTGAGAGAGAGAGAGAAACACAGATGCAAAGACATAGAGAGACAGAGACAGAGAGGAAAAAAGTGACCAGGAGTAAAACAAGGGCCCGGGATGCAAATATTCCTAGGCCTGAAAATAGATATCCACTTTTTCCCGGAATCAATCTCATGGCTGGTATCAATTGCTGAAAAATAACGCTAGTGTTCTATTTTCCCTCATCTCTGGATGACAGGCCTAAATGTGACTGTGAATGCTTCTTTCATGTATTCGGATGGTCTGATTCATAACTCCGGCGACTGCCGGAGCAGCACCTGTGAAGGCCTTGACCTACTCAGGAAAATTTCAGTAAGTATTTGCTTTTGTGGATGCACCTCATGGCCTACGGGCACCAGATAATCTTAGTGTGAAATGTAAGCACATAACCATGAGGCAGCTCTCCCATCATTTCTAGCCACATAGATGAATGAGTGGCCAAGTACCAGGCAGGAGACTCTGGCTTTATCCCTACAGATTACGCAAATGACAGGGGCCCTCCATGAATCCAGGAAAGTGAGGAGAGCCTTGGCTATGTACTGTGTGTACACTTTCAGTTGTAAGGAGAGGAATTCTTTTGTTTTAAATTGTTTTTAAAATTTTGCTTTGTTTTGTTTTTTTGGGTTGTTTGTTTATTTGTTTTCTGAGACAGGGTCTCCCTCTGTTGCCCAGGCTGGAGTGCAGTGGCATAATCATGGCTCACTGCAAGTTGAGCTCCTGGGCTCAGGTGATTGTCCCACCTCAGCCTCCCAAGTATCTGAGACTACAGGCATGTGCTACCATGCTCAGCAAATTTCTTATATTATTTTAGAGACAGGGTTTCACCATGTTGCTCAGGCTGGTCTCGAACTCCTGAGATTAAGTGATCTGCCCTCCTTGGCCTCCCAAAGTGCTGGAATTACAGGCGTGAGCCACTGCACCCAGCCAGTTTTTAAGTTTCTTTATTTAATAGTATAAACTGCTATGCCTTTGTGTCCCTCAAGAAATAACTGAGAAATCATGTTTAAAAACATATTTCAAGGCCCCACACCAGAAATCTCTGTTTCAAGTCATCGCCATATGTCAGATCATAGTTAATTGCTTAAGGGTTGAATCTGACACCTAACTTAAAGTAGTAACTGCAATGTCAAAGGATGGAAATGGGAAGAGGGGGATTCTTGCCTAGTTCCTCCTCCGAATCCCCAAACCACAGTCCCAACCAGAGCTTTATGGAGATAAAGAGTATTACAAGCTCTCTAGAGACAAACAGATGTGCGATGCACCCCCTTACTACAGAAACTAAAGGAAAGGCTGTCTGAGCAGCAGAGCACTGGGAGTAGAGCCATGCCTCTAAACTTTAATCAATAATATCACACCAACCAGGCAGACCACACTCCCGTCAGGAACAATGGCCCCCACAGCAGTGATTCTCAATCTTGGGAAGGTAAGGTGTGCACAAGCATAGTTCGATAAACTCCACATCACAATTTCAGAAATGTATGCTACCTTTCTCTGCCTCCACAGAGAGAGGTATAACCTGGTTCTCTAAAACCAGGGATGAGATGGTCCCAACCAGATTCCCCTTCAGAAATAGGAGAAAATAAGATCAATAATCACCCAATCAATTGCATAGCATTTTACTCACTTCAGCCCTGTTTTATAGTTCTCTCCACAACTGAAACTTGCCCTCTCCCTTCAAAGCACCTCCAAATCTCATCTCACCACTATCTGGCCTACAGACACTACTAATGCTACAGCCTCCCAGTCCCTCTTCTGCCTCTTCCCATCCTGCACTGAGAAGGAAGCCAGGTTCACCTCCAGTCAGCGCACCTTTGTAAAATACCTTCCCTCCCGGTAGCATCTTTTCCCTCTTGAACCTCTCCATGCCTCAGTTGATCCTTGTCCAGCTCAAGGCACCCTATGCTGCTCTGAGTTTGAGCATCTTGGGAGGCCCCACTTTCTAAACCTCTGGGAGCCTTCCCCTTGCTACTTCTTTCCTGTCTACGGAGTACTTTTCTTAGTTTTAGGAATTCATTGTTGTTTTCTCTCCTACAGAATGCAAAACGGATGGGCTGTGTCCTCATGGGGCCCTCATGTACATACTCCACCTTCCAGATGTAGTAAGTAATAGTACTGTGAACTGAAGTCAGGACATGATATTGCAACTTAAAGAAACAACAGTCTAGTCCAGGCAACACAATCAGAGGTGTTGAGGTCTAGTATTTTGCCATCTCTCCATAACTGTCATTCTCTTATCCAGGTAACTTCCCTTGCTCAGCATGGAGTGAATGTCTGTAGCCATCCAGGTTGAGTCATTAACGTCTGACCTTGAGAGAAAGCATGGTATGAGTAAAAAGTCAGAGTTTTGAGCAAAAGCAGGAAAGATAGTGAAATTGGATAATTCGAGGACTTTAATAAATAAAATATTCACAAAAGTATGGGTAGAGGGCTGGGAAACACAAAAGAAAGTGCAGCACCCCAGGGTTTTAGTAGGGTTCTGTTCTATCCTGTAGGTCTGTGAAAGTGGGGAAAATAACAACATGTTTAGTTCATGGGGTTATTTGAGGATTATATAAATGAGATGTTAAAGTCCTCTGTACAGTGCCCTTACTATCTTAGAACAAAGCTCTCAATATATTCTAGAATGAATATATTTTTCTGGCTCTGGGAAAATTACCCTCATCTCTTTCATTCATTTTACACAATGTAATTATCACCAAAATATACTGTGTTCTGCTAATTACACCTCCCTAATCAAAATCCTGCTCAAGTTCCTTTTTTGTGCCTGCTCAATCTGACCCTGAATCAAGAATCACCCTTCATCTACACAGAAAAAACTGTGCAGAGGATCACTCACAATGGATTTTGGAGGGTAAACATTAGACCTCTGAAAATTCTATTGCGAAGTTTGCTTTTGTCACCTCACACCCACCATTACAATCAGTCTCAGATGCTCAGGCTCACTGAGCACTTTTTCAGCTTCTCTTCCATACCAAAATGCAGACAGATCCAGAATCTTACTCTTCCTTGCATTTGTTCCCAATTGTCATCTAACCTGATCACTTACTATATTGCTATAGAGTATGCTTAAAAGGAAAGGAGGATTGGGAAAACCGATTCACCATTTATGAAGACCTTCTACGTGCAAAGAAGCATTTTAGCTGTTTCAGAGTAGAGAGAATTAAGTAAAACACAGCCTCTGCCCACCCAAATAGAGAAGGTGACAAGGACTCTCCTGACCAATACAAGGCAGTGAGATCAATGCCACTAGGGAAATAGAGACAGGAAATTGCAGAGGGCAGGGATCAGTGGCACCCGCCTGTAATCCCAGGGCTTTGGGAGATTGAAGCAGGAGGATCCCTTGAGCCCAGGAGTTTGAGACTAGCCTAGGCAACATAGCGAGACCCTGCTCTACAGAAAATTTAAAAATAAAAAAATTAGCCAGGTGTAGTCATGCATGCCCAGCAATGTGGCAGGCCAATATGGGAGGATCGCTTGAATTGAGGAGGTCAAGGCTCCAGTGACCCAGGATCACACCACTTCATGCCAGCCTGGGTGTCAGAGTGAGACCCTATAAAAGAGAAAGAGAGAAAGGTGAGAGAAAGAGAAGGAGAGAAAGGAAGGAAGGAAGGAAGGAGAGAAAGGAAGGAAGGAAGGAAGGAAAGGAAGGAAGGAAGGAAGGAAGGAAGGAAAGAAGGAAGGAAGGAAAAAGAAAAAGAGAGGAAGGGAGAGAGAGAAAAGGGAAAAGAAAAGAGAAGCTGTAGCATGCACAGAAAGGAAGAGTCACCTCTGTTTGAGGGGACTAAGATTCAATGGGGGAAAGAAACCTCATGAAGGAGATGCAATTGTTTGCATGTTGAAGAATGGGTAAAATTTTAACGGGTAGAGAGATGAGGAGATGAGCTTTCTAGCCAGGCAGAGGGAGAAGTATGTGTAAAAGCAAACAAGCAGGGAAATGAAGAACTCTGTATTAGCCAGAGTTCAGGAAATGTATAGGGGAATAATAGAGATAAGACTAGCAAAATTAAGTAGGACCATATTTGGAAGTTCATGGGAGGAAAGTCCAGGTGAAGGAAGTTGCATTTAATGAGATTCGCGTCAGAAATCACTAAGGTTTTAAGCTTGGGAATGCCAAGAGAAGCAGCCCGACTTTCAGAAGAATGATTGACCACAGTGTATAGGAAAGACACAGGCAGAGACTGATGACAGGAAAGTCAGCAGAGAAGGAGGGCCTCGATTAGCAAGAAGGAAGTGGACATGGAAAGGGAGAATAACTGCAAAGATATTTGAAGGTAGAATCAATCAATAGTATGATGCTGGGGTGAGAGATGGAAAGTAGTCAAAGAAGCGTTTACAATCTCAAAACACTAAAATAAATGAAAAAATCTCAAAACACTAAAATAAATGAAAAAATCTCAAAACGCTAAAATAAATGAAAAACAGTTTGGAGGAACAGAAATGAAAGAGAATGCTGACTGTGAACATTGTAGTTTGAGATGCAAGCAGGAAGCTCACTAAAACCTTTTGATGGAGCACTGAAGAAGGAAGGGGATGTTGTTTTCCTTCCTTCATTAAATACATATTAAGCACCTACATATGAGCCTAGCTGACTGGAGACACCAAGGTGAACAAGCCAGGCATGACCCTGCTTTCAGGGAGCTTACAGTCTAGTGGAAGAAACAGATATTAAATAGATACTCACCCAAATAGTGACCTGGTCTTAGGTACCATGGAAAGTTTTCCTGATAGATAAAGAGATACATAATCTAGGATCTGAAGAATGAGTAAGAATCAGTCTGGCAAAGAGGCAGGTGAACATCATTCCTGGCATTTGTCAAGGCCCTGATTGGGAATGAAGATTGATAAGTTTAGGTAACTATGAAATGGTCCAGGTGTTGAGCAAGGGAAGGAAAGCTGTCAAATCCCCAGCTGATGTCTCACAGGCAGTTCATTGCAGAGCTGGGAAGAAGGCAATGCATGGCAAAGTGTAGATGGCATCTTTTTGGCTTTACAACGATGGTGGCTGTGGTGGTCCATCCTTTTTCTGAGTCCCACTTCCCTAGTATCCCAGCCCAGATATCATGACAACTCACTTTAGAATAAATCAAAATAACCCAGCCACATATTCACAAAATTGCCTAGAGGGTGCTTAGAACACAGCATATGCTCAACAAGTGTTTTTAAACTCAGCTTTATGAGAAAGACTCCAAATACATGAGATATCTGCTTTAATGACCTGATTTCATTCTTACCATTCATACATACATGCTGAAACAGGTTAAAGAGGGATCTTATTTGTGCTACTAAAGTTAATCCTGATAATGGTTTTTTCTTCTCAACCTCTTGACACAGCCTTGACACAGAATTGAGCTACCCCATGATCTCAGCTGGAAGTTTTGGATTGTCATGTGACTATAAAGAAACCTTAACCAGGCTGATGTCTCCAGCTAGAAAGTTGACATACTTCTTGGTTAACTTTTGGAAAACCAATGATCTACCCTTCAAAACTTATTCCTGGAGCACTTCGTATGTTTACAAGAATGGTACGGAGTCCGAGGACTGTTTCTGGTAAGCAGGATCATGAAATTTCATTAGCACTTGCCATGGAAAGAAGCCATAGGATCATGGAGGCCACCTAGTTATTATCAGATACACCTTCCACCGGTAACAGCATTGGTTATACACACCAGTTCACTTTCTCACACATAAATAAAAGCAAAGGGGATCAAGTAAATATAGAGTTGTAAAAATAATCAGTATAGTTTGCATCTGCAACACTCTTTACTATTTTGAAAGTACATTCACATCAGTTTTATTGATTTCCTACAGTACGTTATCTGAAGAAAATAAAACAAGTAATAGGATCCGTATTTTACAGATAAGGAAAATGAAAGCCAGGGGTTAATGTTTTCACACTCCTGTGTAAGAAACAATACCAGAGAACATGCATCTTGCCTATTCCTACAATTAATTAGAAAAAGATGATCTCACACTTCTTCAGAGGAACAAGAGGTGGGGGAGAAACAGGAATAATGGGTATGGTATTAATAATAGTTTGTTTACATACTGCTATAAAGAACTACTCGAGACTGGGTAACTGATGAAGGAAAAAAGGTTAATTGACTCACGGTTCAGCATGGCTGGGGAGGCCTCAGGAAACTTACAATCATGACAGAAGGCGAAGGACAAGCAAGGCACTTTCTTCAAAAGGCAGCAGGAAGGACAAGTGCTAAGCGAAGAGGGAAGAGCCCCTTATAAAACCATCAGAACTCATGAGAACTTACTCACTATCACGAGAACAGCATGGGGCAAACCACCCTCATGGTTCAATTACCTCCACCTGGTCTCTCCCTCGACAGGTGGGGATGATTGAGATTATGGGGATAACAATTCAAGATGAGATTTGGGTGGGGCCACAAAGCCTAACCATATCAGGTATCATTACTAAAATAAAATGGAAAGATTCATTCAACTCCAACAAAGGTGGTAGAGGAAATCTTCTGGTTGGGTTGCTGCCTGTACTTCCAGGATGCTGCTTAATTCTGCAGTCTCTCTCCACCTAATTATGCAAAAGACTAAGATGGGATACCACCAGGGGTGCACATCTAGGGACCTACAGGAATCAACCCACGGTATCTAATGTGAGGTTTAAACAGGAGCAGAAATTATTCCTATCAACTTTGAATTTTTGTACTGTAGATTCAAGGGTTTCAACTTATCTATGATAATGGGACTAGTTGATAAAGCAGAGGAGAACCCTCTTCCTGCAAACAGCTGGAAGCCATCACAAAGGACTCACAAAATGTCTACTATTTACATGTATACATGAAGATCCCTAAAAACTCCCCCATCCTTTCACTAATTTAGAGCTTCACAATCTAAACTAGTGGTATCATGGTGTGTGCTGTCTATCGTGTTAATAGCAGAAATGAATTTTAGATGAACAAATCTCAGGATAGATCTGCAAAAAAGAAGTGAAAGGCCTGAAAGGCCATGAGGGAACTAAGCTGTTTTCTTAGTTTCTCTTTTTCCTATTCCAGGTACCTTAATGCCCTGGAGGCCAGTGTTTCCTATTTCTCCCATGAACTCAGTTTTAAGTTGGTGTTAAGACAAGATAAGGAGTTTCAGGATATCTTAATGGACCACAACAGGAAAAGCAATGGTAAGAAGACATGAAGATAATTTTGTTGATTTTTTTTTTTTTTGCTAACTTCTTCTTTATGACTACCACCTCCTTATAAGTCATTTCAACAAATCTTCCACTGCAGAGCTATCATCATTCCTCCTACATATTTTGTATATTTTGGGAGATCTATAATTGCATGCAACTTCATTATATTGTTCCTTTCATTGACTAAAACCTTATCCTCTGAGAGAAAATCCATAAGTATGACTGAGTAATTATATTAACATAATAATGATAATGCTAAAATCCAGCTTTTATAAACCCAAATGATACGATGACCCACCCTCAGCAAACTCTTTTTTAAAATTCACCTCAATCCAACATATTATTGGATTTGTGACTAATCTTCACACAGTATGAGCCCCAGTCCTCCTGGTGGCCAAGAGGATGAATTTATTGATTATATAGCTTCATGCAAAATTATAAGGTAAGCAAAGATTATCTCACTTTCCTAATCTTTCTGTATCTTACCTGCCCAGTGATCTAACAGCTAGAGACCAAGTATGAAAGCCTAATTGGTTAAAATTTATCCACAGATAAAAGACCACACATTGGGTACAGTGTACACTGCTTGGCAGACAGGTGCACCAAAATTTTAGAAATCACCACTAAAGAACTTATTCATGTAACCAAACACCACCTGTTCGCCCAAAAACCTATTCAAATAAAAAAAAAAAAAAACCTCATCCTCACTAAGATATTAGGGGATTTGTTGCACTTTCCACAGAATTCTGTCTACAAACAAGAATGTATCAGGGGCAAAGGAATCAATTGTGAGAATTTTCTACAAGGGAAGATACTTGCTTGGTGGATTCCCTGATACTCAAATTATCGTTTATTGCCATTATCAAGCATTTGTTATATTAATGACCTACCAGTTGCAAAAACATTAACCAAGATATGGTGGGAAAGAAATATGTGAGTATTTATGTCTCTAAAGACTTTACAATTCAACAGGGCAGCATAATGGCACAGCATCTAAAAAGATCTAATGAAGTCTCCCCCGACTCCTCTCACTCATAGAACTGTGCATTCAGGATAACTGGCAGAAATTCGTGGTAGACTTCAGATTGGACTCTGGCATTGGAGTTACTAAGACGAAGTTTTGAGTTAAGAGGCTACAGATAAAGCCCAAGTTGCTTAGGGAGACTTTATAAATTCTTCTCCGTTCTCACTTTTATAATACCTTTTTCAACCACTTTTACAAATGGTGAGGTATACTTCACTTATCTATGCCAACATATTCTGTAATTACTCCAGCCTGGCATAATGGAATAAGAACTGAACTTGACTGTCACAGCTATCTTTGTCATCTACTAGTTCTTTGACCCTTTGGCATCTTCGCTTCAGCCTCCTTAAATCTATAAAATTAAAAGAATGATGGACTAGATGATTTTTTAAAAAAGATCCCATTCAGCTCTATTCTGACTCTATCATTGTAAATGAAAAACAAAAAAAAGGAGGAATTTAAGAAATTGGAGTTTATCTTTAAAAAATTTTACATTAACCTACTGGGTTCATATTCAGGCAACTGGTTCCCTCTCTGTTTGTCTGTAGACTGTCATATATTTATCTGCTTGTCTCACCTTCTCCTCCAGTGATTGTTATGTGTGGTGGTCCAGAGTTCCTCTACAAGTTGAAGGGTGACCGAGCAGTGGCTGAAGACATTGTCATTATTCTAGTGGATCTTTTCAAGTAGGTATAATATTTCGAAAAACCCTCCTCCTTTCAAAAAGGAAGTATTCCAAGGATTTCCAAAAGGCACATTCTTTTTTCTCTTGCTTTGTACAACCCCTTATGGGGTTACGTATGATAATATTTGAACTCCGTCACACCCTCATTCTTATTTACTTAATTGTGGCTTTAGCAGAGATGCATTCCTTTGACACCTTCACCATTTCTAAATAGAAAAGGTTTATTATAGCCCCCATTAAACCCACATGTGCATTTATGACTGAGGCCTGCTCAGTCAACATAGAATCCTGGCTGGGTATGATCGCTCACACCTGTAACCTCGGCACTTTGGGAGACCTAGGCAGGAGGATCGCTTGAGTCCAGGAGTTTCAGACCAGCCTGAGCAACACAGTGACACCCCATCTCTATTAAAAAAAAAAAAAAGAAGAAGAAGAAGAAAGAAAAAAACATATGACCCTGATCTCTAGCCAGATTTTAAAGTCTTTATCCAGGAAATAATAAATCAACTCAAGACTCAATAATATTGTTCCTGGTAATGCCAGCCCCATTTTCTTCCTTCAGTTGCTAATGGCCTTTGGTCCTAGATTACTTTTCCTTCAGCCACCTCTGATAAGCTTGAAGTTTCAGTTATATGAGTCTGATATACACAATTATTCCTCACCCTCTGTGGTGTAGTCACTAGGTGGTGCTCTTTTCCTCCACATTTCTCTGGGCCAAGGAGAAAAAATGCTGGAGAGTAGAAAGCACCTTTGATCACATCCCATCTTTTTTTTAATCGCTAATTATCTGATATGGTTGGAGACCCCACTGACAAGCTGTGCCAAGGTAATATTTGAATCAAGTTAGGCTTGAAGAAGGTGTCACTGCCATGCCCATGCCCCTTGTCTCTAGAAGCCAGATCATATGACTTCACTTATCTGACTGGACCATTAATCATTACCTGTCTGTACTCAGACAGGAGGCTGTTACTGTCTAGATCTTTCCCGTATTTGCCTGATCATTTCACCCACACTAACAATACTTCTCACAGTATGAATGGAAATGAAGTATAGGAACTGCAGGCTTGTTTGATGGCTAGACATTCATGAAAGTAATTTAATTAACCAACTAGACTCTTAACTACAGAAGTACAGGGAAGAGGTCAGAGTTACCGATATTTCACTTCAAGAACCTCATTGATTTTAATAGCTGCTTTGCCCCTGGAAGGAGCCCTTAGTGTACCCAGGTTGGTGTAATTTTACTTTCAGAAATCCTCAATAAACCACCAAAGTGCTGGCATTCCTCTGTCACTAATCCCAAAGGACACCTGGCTATGTTTTGGAAAGCTCATGAGACTAAATTAGACATAATATGTTCACATTCTAATTCTGACACTTCTGGTTGTTTTGACTCTTGGATTTTTGTTAGCATTTTGAGATTAAATCTTCTCATTTGTAAAATGAGAATTAAAATGCCTTCTTCATAGGGGTGCTTCTAGAATTAATGTGATAATAGGAGTAAAATATCCAGTACAGTTCTTAACACATAGTAGATGTGTTCAAATATTAAATATGCTGGGCACAGTGGTGCATGCCTGTTGTCCCAGCTGCTTGGGAAGCTGAGGCGGGAGGATGGATAGCTTGAATCTAGGAGTTCAAGACCAGCCTAGGTAACGTAGCAAGACCTTGTCTCCTAAAAAAAAAATGTTTTTAAATAAAAACATTTAATAATGGTCAGCCTAATTACAGCAGTTCAAACATATCAGATTCTTTTCAAACCTCAAAATAATAGGAAGCTTAGAAACCATAGCATTTGAGGCTGGGCTATTGGCTCACACCTGTAGTCCCAGCACTTTAGGAGAGGCAGGCAGTTCACCTGAGGTCAGGAGTTTAAGACCAGCCTGACCAACATGCTGAAAACCCGTCTCTTCTAAAAATCCAAAAAAAATAGCCGGGCTGGTGGTGGGTGCCTGTAATCCCAGCTACTCGGGAGGCCGAGGCAGGAGAATCACTTTAACCTGGGAGGCGGAGGTTGCAGTGAGCCGAGATCATGCCATTACACTCCAGCCTGGGCAATGAGAGTGAAACTCCATCTAAAAATAAAATAAAATAAAAAGTAAAAGTAAAAATAAACCATAGCATTTGCACAGCAATCTTAGACAGTATTGAGAGTCTACAATGTGCCAGGCATTGTCTAGGAGTTGAGGGTACAAGAATCAATAAGCTAATGTTCCATATATCAAAAAGCTTACCGTGTTAGAGGAGAGGTTTAGTCTTTTTATGCTTATGTTTCACCATCTAAAACATAAGTTTAGTGATAAAATTTCTCTCTACCATGTCTCAATATCTCTAAATTGTTGAAAGCACTTAAGGAAAAGAAAGTTTCTACCTATAAACCAAGAAAAGCAAGCATGAGCTCACATGTCCACAGCCCCCCAAAATCTCAAAGAAATCAAGAAATATCTGTATTCTCGTTTTCTTTTCCTTTATGTATGTTAACCACAATTGCTTAAATTCTCTTATTTAACCTAGCAAGCACAGAAGAAAACGATTCTATCTGGGGAAAGTAGAAAGTTTTGCAGATTAATTTAAAAAAATGTTTTAAACTATTTTCAAGGTTGATGATATAGTTTGTGTGAACTGTAGAAGATATATCTCTATTTTTCCTAATTTTCATGAGGAACCTGTGCTTTTTATTACAGTGACCAGTACTTTGAGGACAATGTCACAGCCCCTGACTATATGAAAAATGTCCTTGTTCTGACGCGGTCTCCTGGGAATTCCCTCCTAAATAGCTCTTTCTCCAGGAATCTATCCCCAGTAAGCTATTATTTTATGTTATAGTATAAATTATATATTATTATTTTCTTTGTCAAGGGTAAGATACTTTTTGTCCATTTAGGACCCAAATTCTAAAATGAGCAATTATTTTTACTTGCTCCAATTCACTCAACAAATGTTAACTGAAACCAACTACATGTACAGCATTTTGAAACAGCAGGGTCACTATCAAAGCTCTTAACTATAGGTCACTCTGCTAGACTATAGAACAGTCCAATAGCGGACACATGTGCAACATTGGCATGAAAGTAACAATATGGAAAGACAGGAAGAAGCCCTGCTAATGAGGGGCAATCTTACACTTATAAGAGGTAGATATTAAACAATGTAAAATAAAGCAAGGGTTACGGGAAAGTTCCCTACGTCCTAAAGCAAAATTTTCCTGTCACTGATATTAAAATCCTCCCATTAGAAATGTGTATTCCTAGGTTAAGACATTGTCTTCCATTATAATTAAGTTGACCATTGTCCAAATTTGCCCAGGAGAGTTTTGCTGTATTCCTGTTATCCCACTATACCATCTGGTTTAGCATTTGTGCAGAAATAAGAGCCTCCATTTGGACACTAAATCATGGCTACCTTATTATAATGCAGGGCTCCTGATTCTAATAGTATATTGGGCTTTGTCAGTCCCTGTACTTTCATACGATTAAATCTATTAGATGCATTCTGCCCACAGAGACAAACCTTTGAGAGCAGACTGGGATGGGAGGAGAAGGAAGGGGCAATGATGATGACATTAAAACAACTTTGGGATGGCAAGTCAAGGGCCAGGCCCAAAAAGCTGCAAAGAAAGATGGATATCTCTGGGGTGTCACCGTTTTTCCTGGCTAGAAGTTCTAAGTCCCCCCATTTACGACCATGCCAAAATTAGAGACTGCATCCTCTTTTGGAGCTGGGTCTTAACTGGATTCTTTTTACCTCATGAAATGATTTCAGTAAAAGAAACTGAAACCAATGAAAGGGTTTTATTTTTCCAGCAAATATAATTCTGAGTGTAATATCTGGATATCACTTGACCCTCTTCATGGTTCTAGCAAAAATACAATTCTTTGCAAATGGGCAGTTCAACATGCCCGAGGTAATGGAACCCACTTGGTCTCAGTTCAGCAAGGGCTTTTAATTCATCACTCAGCCCTGTGAAGGTCACCATTCTCCAGCTGCCGAGGCACAGCAGTTCTGACCCTCTCCATTACTTTTCCCAGGGGAGGCATTTGGGGCATGAAATAATACCCAATCAGAATTGTATTCAAAGCAAGTTCAGTGGTATCATCCAATCAAAACTGCTCATGTTCCATTCAGAATACTGAAATGCAGGGATTGTTTTTGGTTTCTGATTTTTGGGTTTCTCTTTTGCACTTTAATAAAAACAATCAACTACAAGCTAACATTATTTCTATATAAAATCTTATAAGAATTATGAAAATGCTTCATGTTGCCTCTCCTGGTTGATTTGTATTTTTTTCATCATGGGAATGAAGTATAACTGCTTATAGTTACTTCCCTCATTTTATTGATTCCAAGAGAAGACAGAATTGTGACATGGGATCATAAAGAACACTGACCCAAAGAAGAGTTATTTTTCTTTCTTTCTCTGTTTCTTTTGTTTTTTTTGTTTTTGTTTTTGTTTTTTTTTTGAGATGGAGTCTCACTCTGTCACCCAGGCTGGAGTGCAGTGGGATCTCAACTCACTGCAACCTCCACCTCCCAGGTTCAAGTGATTCTCCAGCCTCAGCCTCCTGAGTCCTGAGTAGCTGGAATTACAGGCGTGTGCCACCACAGCTGGTTAATTTTTTTGTATTGTTATAGAGATGGGGTTTCTGCATGTTGGCCAGGCTGGTCTCGAACTCCTGACCTCGGGTGATCCACCCGCCTTGGCCTCCCAAAATGCTGGGTTTACAGACACGATCCATCTCACCCGGCCTCCAAGGAAGAGTTTTCTAAAAGTCTCATTAAATAACATCCCTTCAATTCCCCTCCTATCCCTTTAAATTTCCGGTTACCCTGCTGATCACAGCAACCTTTTGTTCTAGGCTCAAGACCAGATTCTTTTCTGAAGGACCCGTTTTAATATTTTCCTTTTTTTATTTAGACAAAACGAGACTTTGCTCTTGCCTATTTGAATGGAATCCTGCTCTTTGGACATATGCTAAAGACATTTCTTGAAAATGGAGAAAATATTACCACCCCCAAATTCGCTCATGCTTTCAGGAATCTCACTTTTGAAGGTACTGGTCTATAAAGAGCAAATAACCTCAAGGTGAAGAAATATGGACTTTTTGAGTGGATTTGGGGCAACAAAGAGGGTTTAACAATAGATGATTCCACAGCTAAATCCCTTTAAACTCAACTGGATGCAAACATCATTACATAAACTTTGAGGGTGCTGTTATTAATAACTGAACCCCAGTTTATGCTTCAGTCTTTTAGAATCTTTGGATATCACAGAAAGGGCAGGTAGTGCAGGTTCTGTACTTATGAACCAAGCTCCTCATAAAGCATTTTGAGCAGTGATGTCCTGACTGTGCTTGGAGACTAACAAGAGGATAAATATTTGTAGTTTGATTTGGGTCCGTCCATATCTCCTTTTCTATCCTTCAAGGATCTGGGACCCTGTGTTAAACCTTTAGCTATCAAAACTCCACAAAATAATACCCTCCAAAACAACATGAATCTCCTGAACTGCATGGATCAGCGTTGCCCTTTCCTACAAGTCCCTAGTGAAACTCCCATCTTTCATTTCCCAGATCTCATCCTGAGACTGTGAAGAAATTTTCCTCTAAATGTAATGTGTACTAAGTCAAAGAAAAATTATAGTGGCCTTTTCTAACTTGCCGCAGAGTCTTACTCTATGACACCTTTATTTTACTGCAGAGGAAGTGACTGTCTCTGTAGGCTTCGGAGGGCAGCAGATGCCCAGCATTAGGACTGAGGGCTGCACCAGTGGCTATGGTGTATGACAGAGGTGGGAAGAGATCACTTCTGCTTCACTGAAGATGCAGCAAGGGAGACACAGTAATTTGTTGGTCATCCCATGTGTCCCAGGTTCTACCAGGCACTTTATATGAACTCTTAATTTCCTCACTTCCATGACCATGGTTGAGCATTTTAATGGATTAGCACGGGCTTAACATTTGGCTTAACATTTAGGAAACAAACAAATGTTTGTTCCCGCCACCTACCAGCTGTATGACCCTTAATATCTCTGACTAAATAAATGATTTCTCACCAATATAACAGAGATAATAATAGTTTCTATATCATGACATTCCAGGAAGAATAGTATGATAATGCATATAATCACTTAGCACAGAGCCTGGTATATCGTAAACAGGAAATAAATGTTCATTGTTACATTGAACCGTGTGAAGTTGCTAATTTGATCACTTTTTTTTTTAACTAAATAGGTTTATCTTATATTGCTATTTCATAGATGACAAAACTGAAACTCAGAAAACTTAAGTAATTTTCTTCAATGTCTTCAGCAAACAAGTGATAGTGAAAAAATTTTGATCTTCCTACAATCTATGTTAAGATTGTGCAATGACGCTATACACCATGCTAGGAGTTCAGGAAATATTCTTAGCAAAAATGTATCACTAATAATCGAGGGACTTATTGACTCATTACATTTAGTACCACCCTAAATGCAATGAAAAGGTTTTTTGTTTTTTCTAAATAAATACATCTCCCATAAAAATGCCTTCCAGAGATCTCTGGGGCAAGAAGCCAATCCAGGTGCCATCTGATTAGACTATTAATGTCAACAGTGTTTTCAGTACATTTGAAACAGAGCTATTTGAACCTGTTTTACCCTCTCTGTCATGATCCAACTTATCTGTCAGGCAAAACTCAACAATGGCCTCTAACATACTCTGATCTTGCCCTAGGGTATGACGGTCCAGTGACCTTGGATGACTGGGGAGATGTGGACAGTACCATGGTGCTTCTGTATACGTCTGTGGACACCAAGAAAGTATGTCTCACTGCTTGTCAGAAAATGCAGGGTGCTGTGACTGGGTGAGGAGGGATAACTTGGAGGAGGAGCACTAGCAAAGGAATTAGAGAAACTATGTTTAGAATCTGAAGACAGTTCATTTCAACTTCACAATTACACCCCACTTCGGGTAGTATTCCTGAAGCATTTTGACCCATAAAACTTCTTACTCAGAATATCCACTTTATTTACTATTAATATATCTATACCTCTATATCTATATCCATATAGATAGGTATAGATATTTTAAATATCCGCCCAGAACAAATTATATAATATAACAACCAGACTATTGAGGGGATACCAATGAGAGGATCACAAGTCTTTCCCAGTAATTTTTTACTCATTTTCACAACTAAAGAGTTCAATGAAATATTCCCTGTTATCTCCATTTGAACTCTCAGGAAAATCATTAAATGTATACATCGGAGCTCCAAATAAACAGCCCTATAATGCTATGCTTTTATTCATATTATATTCATTTTTTTTTCTCACCTACATAGTAGGTTCTTTAAAGAAAAGAAGTGGTCTACTCACCTCTCCATCTCTTCAGTGCATAGCTTCTTATCTGGCACACCATTGATGGCTGGTCAGCATTTAATCACAAAAACAAACAAACAAACAAAACACTTGTCTTCATGTCATCCGATGTTGTATTCATCCAAACTATAAAAGCCACTGTTCCAGCGAACCAAGTGGTCGGTAAAAAGGTTTATATAGGAGGTCAGGTCCTAACATAACATAAGATGTATTCTTTTTTTTTTTATTTTCCAATACGAGTGTTATGACACCCTAAGTCATATACTAAATGTGTCTATCAACCCAGCTTTGTAAAAGACATCTGCAATGGAAAATGTGAAAAGCTAGAGAAAAGATGTCCAGGTTGAGAAAGCTAAACCAGAAATTTGCTAGCAGCATTCCATAAATGTAATTCGTAGTTTCTAGATCCTATATTGAACCTTTAATATAATGTTATGTTTAGCATACATTCCATAAGAATACCTTAACATAAGATCCTATCAATACTTCAGTTACTAATAGCGATTACAAAGGTACATGCATACCTCTCTGAGTTATTCGCATCTGGGATGGTGCCCATGACCTTCATAGACAGAGGCAGGCAGAAACAGGTGAGATCTAATGTCAGTCTCATAACTACACTTCTAAATGGAAAATGTTGCTCTGTGCATTTATTCTCTCTATAAGCAAATTCAGTTGAATTTTTCAATAATGTAATACCATAGGTTGTGCTATATAACATGTATATTTGGGGAAATGGGATCTTCTCAAAATGTAAGGTTAAAAGGATGATAATCTATATCCAGGATAGGTCTCAAGAGAGATTCAATATGCCACATCCTAATGTAAAGGAAAAAGAGAGAAAGAAAGAGTAAAGTTACGAAAATATAACATTGGGCTGGGTGCAGTGGCTCACCCCTGTAATCCCAGCACTTCTGGAGGCCGAGGCAGGTGGATTACTTGAGGTCAGGAGTTCGAGACCAGCCTGGCCAACATGGTAAAACCCCGTCTCTACTAAAAATACAAAAATTAGGCAGGCATGGTGGTGCATGCCTGTAATTCCAGCTACTTGGGAAGCTGAGACAGGAGAGTCACTTGAACCTGGGACATGGAGGTTGCAGTGAGCCAAGTTCACACTACTGCACTACAGTCTCAGTGACAAAGTGAGACTCTGTCTCAAAAAAAAAAAGAAAAAGAAAAAGAAAATATAACATCGTTGTCCAGAACAGTTTGAGGGTACAGTGGTAAATTTAAAAGGATGGTCATTGATATGGTTTGGCTGTGTCCCCACCGAAATCTCAACTTGAGTTATATCTCCCAGAATTCCCATGTGTTGTGGGAGGGACCCAGGGAGGTAATTGAATCATGGGGGCTGGTCTTTCCCATGCTATTCTCGTGATAGCGAATAAGTTCTCATGAGATCTGACGGGTTTATCAGGGGTTTCTGCTTTTGCTTCTTTCTCATTCTCTCTCGCTGCCACCATGTAAGAAGTGCCTTTCACCCTCCACCATGATTATGAGACCTCCCCAGTCATGTGGAACTGTAAGTCAAATTAAACCTCCTTTTCTTCCCCAAAAACGAGAAGAAAAAATTGTTTTTCCCAGAGGTTTCATGGACTCACAGTTCCACATGGCTGGGGAGGCCCCACAATCATGGTGGAAGGTGAAAGGCACATCTTACATGGTAGCAGGCAAGAGAGAATAAGAGCCAGTGAAAGGGGAAACCTCTTATAAAACCATCAGATCTCATGAGACTTATTCACTACCACAAGAATAGCAGGGGAAAGACCTGTTCTATGATTCAATTACCTCCCCTGGGTCCCTCCCACAACACGTGGGAATTCTGGGAGATACAATTCAAGTTGAGATTCTGGTGGGGAAACAGCCAAACCATATCAAGTCATCTTTCAGATCTCCCTTACAAAATTGACTCAATATATGCAGCAGTAATTTAAGAATATATTAATATTTCCATTGGCAAATTACTTGAAAATGAAATCTTTTATTTTAGAAACTAATTAGTGTCATGTACAAGAAAAGTATATTAGAGCCAAGGAATAGAAGAGATTAGAAAATTAAGTAACTGATAGAAGTTGAGAAGTGTAGTTATTTCAGGGCCCCTTGACATGTATCAAAATGACATAATGGATTTTAGCTCTGCTGCATTTTCTTGAGAGCTTTTTTCAAAAGCAACTTAATATTGTGGAAAACACTAGTGTTTCATTTGTCATGTGACTTGGAGCTAGCCGTTTAATATTTCTTGGCCTCTAGTTTAACATTTGAAAAATGAAAGACTTGAACTAGTTCACTAAAGGCCCACAGAATCTGTGCTGGACAGACAGGAGTTAATGGTGTAGTGTATGGGCATAATGAAACAGGAAAGTAATCGGTCCATCTGAACTTGTATCTATGTTCATGCTGGGAACCAATAATTGATCCTAACTAGCTGGTTAACAGTTGCCTTTTTTCACTGAGAAGTATTATGTAAATCAAGTGTCATTGAGTAGAATCATTAATCTCACCAGAATTTGTTCTAAAATGATTTACTGTTCATCCTTTTCCTTTTTTGTGCCCTGACACAGTACAAGGTTCTTTTGACCTATGATACCCACGTAAATCAGACCCACCCTGTGGATATGAGCCCCACATTCACTTGGAAGAACTCTAAACTTCCTAATGATATTACAGACCGGGGTAAGATATCCCTAACGAATTTTCTTTCCCTAACACTGTTTTCCTGATAAGAAAAGTAAACTCTATTGTTTATGTAATTAGCCTGTGCTTTTTGCTGTGTTTTGTCTGCTGTCCCAGTTTGATTTGCTGGGTTTGTAAATGTGGTCTTTACTTCCCTGCACAATGAATGATATTATAGTTCTGATTCAACACTGATTTCTGGCCAGGTGTGGTGGCTTATGCCTGTAATCCCAGCACTTTGCGAGGCCAAGGCGAGAAGACTGCTTAAGCCTAGAAGTTTGAGACCAGCCTGGGCAACATGGTGAAACCCTGTCTTCACCAAAAATACTAAAAGAAAAAAAAAATTACCCAGGCATAGTGGTGTGCATCTGAGGTCCCAGCTACTTGGGAGGCTGAGGTGGGAGGACCACTTGAGCCCAGGAAATCGAGGCTGCAGTGAGCTAAGATTGCGCCACTGCACTCCACTGCACTCCAGCCTGGGCAACAGAGTGAGATCCTGTCTCAAAAAAAAAAAAAAAAAAAGAAAGAAAGAAAATATTCTTAATCTAATTTAGCTATACCTGTCTTTAAAATATGTCTTACCATTTGACATAAATTATTCCACAGAAAACCGGGTTTGACAACTGGCAAAAATGAGCACAGAGACATACATTCTTACTCCATTTACATTTTACTGCAATAAGCTAAAAGGTTGTGTATTTCAGCAAGAAATACTTGACATATCAGGCTGAGGGGTGACCAGTGATCCTGGCCTTTATAGTCTCCCCTGTTCCCTCCCTGGACACATGTTTGGGTTGCAGTGATAGTTACCCACCTACTTAAGATTAGGTCCTATCATGTCATGAATAGCCCTAACATGACTTGGCCAGCTTTCACCCGTGCAAGCTGCACACTGACCATCCGCAGCAGGCAGGGCCAGTCAGGATCTCCCGGGCAATGAGGTCTCAGGAAAATCTGTCCATGACTGGCTTGGCCAGGGCTTGCCATAATGAGCAGTAATTCCATGTGACTAGGAAAAAGTCTTTAGGAAAAAGTCTTAAATCTGGACAGATATTTAGTCCAAAGATTAAAAAAAAAAAAGTAGAAACATCATCAATAAAATTATTTAGAGCCAAGCATGGTGGCTCACGCCTGTGATCCCAGCACTTTGGGAGGCCAAGGTGGGAGGATTGCTTGAGGCCAGAAGTTCAAGATAGCCTGGGCAACACAGTGAGATCCCATCTCTACAAAAATTTATAAATTAAAGCTGGGAGTGGTGGCTTATGCCTGTAATCCTAGCATTTTGGGAGGCTGAAGTGGGCAGATAACGAGGTCAGGAGTTCAAGACCAGCCTGACCAACATGGTGAAACTCTGTCTCTACTAAAAATACAAAAATCGGCTGGGCATGATGGCACGTGCCTGTAATCCTAGCTACTCAGGAGGCTGAGGTGGGAGAATCGCTTGAATCCAGGAGGCAGTGGTTGCCGTGAGCCGAGATCACACCACTGCACTCCAGGCTGGGGAACAGAGCGAGACTCCGTCTCAAAAAAAAGGAAAAATTATAAATTAGTGGACATAGTGGTGCATACCTGTGGTCCCAGCTACTCAGGAGGCTGAGGTGGGAGGATCACTTGAGCCCAGTAAGTCAGGGCAGAAGTGAGCCATGATTGTGCCACTGAACACCAGTCTGGATGACAGAGCAAGACCCTGCCTCAAAAAAAAAAAAAAAAAAATTAGAAAATTATGATATATTCACAAATAGAGCATCAGGCAACCAATTAAAATAATTATTTACAAAGAATGTTAAATGACATGGGAAAACTTATGATGTAATGTAATAGAAAAATACAGCTTCTTATTTAATGAGATTCTAACTTTGTAAAACAATGTATAGAAATAAGACTGGAAAGAAATATGTTAAACTGTTAAGAGTGGTGTCCTCTGAGTGATGGGATCCTGGAAGATATTTTTTTGCTTTATTCTATTTTTCTGAATTTTCCAAAATTTCCACAATGACTCTGTATTACTTTATTATTTTCAAAAAGTATTAAAAATTATAAGCTACAAATATTTTTATACCAGCTCCGCTCTATAGCCAGAAACTCTGAAAGTTTGATCTGATATAACGGGAATGTTTCTGGTTTGAAGGGCTTGCTTCTGTCAGAGCTATACCTACATTTCTAGTTTTCTTTCACTCTATGAGTCAAATTTAGTCCAAAATGATTCCCGTACTTTTATCCAACAGGTATTAGCAGCTGATTAATGCAATGAGGGAGGGGGGGATGAAGATGGCATTCTCCTAGACAATAAGCAATACTGAGCTGACTTCAGATTTACTGCTATGGTTGCTTTTTAAAGTTGAGTTTTATTTAATAAGCTTTTAAAACTATTTCTGGAACCATCTTCAGGTTTTCTAGTTTTAAACCAAACTTGACTTCTGAAATATATCTCTTTTCTCATGGGCTTCTGCAACTCTCAACTTCTTTCTTTTGTAACTTTTTGAGTTCAAATTATGTTTTCTTTCTTCTTAATTATAACCGTCAGTGACAATGTTAGGTTTCTGTTTTTAATATATTTCCTTCAAGTTTTTTAGTATTTTGGTTATTCAATAGGTCTGTGATCTGTAAAGTGCTGAACTTCTCAAAAAGTATTTTTTGAGAGAGTTCTCCTTACTTAAAACAGATCACATTAACTATTCATACTATATCCTACAGGGACGTTATATTATCCTGAGCAACTTTACTTCAGCCTCAGTTAACTAACAACCTCAGTTAGCCAGAGCTTTTCAATACTTAACTGTTACTTATTACATTTAGTTCTAAACTTTACCAATGAAGCGATAATATAGGAGTTAAAAAGAAATTATTTAGGCAGGTAGCGAGGGTACTAGAGTCCTCAGTCTTTTTCTTGTCTTTTCTTACTCTTCTGTTTTTTTTGGAGACATTGTCTGGCTCTGTCACCCAGGCTGGAGTACAGTGGTGCAATCTTGGCTCACTGCAACCTCTCCCTCCCGGATTCAAGCGATTCTCCTGCTTCAGCCTCCCCAGTAGCTGGAATTACAGGTGCTTGCCGCCACGCCCGGCTAAAGTTTTGTATTTTTAGTAGAGATGGGGTTTCACCATGTTGGGCAGGCTGGTCTTGAACTCCTGACCTCATGTGATCCGCCGACCTCGGCCTCCCAAAATGCTGAGATTACAGATGTGAGCCACGGTGCCCAGCCAGGCTTTTTCTTTTAATTGAAAACAGCCTCCAAACCATTTCTTTTCTAGCAAAAAGCGGCCTGAAAAGCTGAGCTGCAAGAATAAATAAGCAAGCTGGAAGTTCACATAGATGAATGCCCGCAGCTGTACTAAAAGCCAGATCCACCCAATATAGCGATTTCCCCTCCCTTTTCTTTGTAGCCATGTGTAGGGGGTGTCGTTGTGCCGGCCAGGTAAAGCCACATGTGTGGGTGTCATGGCGCCAGCCAGGCAGAGGTCACATTTGCATAATACAAGATTAGGGTGAGAGGGTCATTTTCTTCGTGGGCTGTGTTAATGGCACACTGGTCAAACCAGTCCCCTGGGCCCTATATAAATCAGACACAGCCTCCTCAAGCATCCCCTATATAACCTACTGCTTCCCACCACAAGCAGGGATTTTTCCTTTCAGAGCCTTCCTACCTCTCTAGGGTGAGCTGTTCTCTTCTTTCCTGCCTATTACACTTTCCGCTCCTTACCGCGCTCGGTGTTTGTGTCTGTGTCCTTAACCTTCTCGTCACGAGATGACGAACCTTAGGTATGTCCCCAGACAATGAAGCCGCTTCAGCAACTCAACCTTTGAAATAGTATAGAAATAAGATATGCATGACTAGAACTTTCATCTGTGCGCACACAGCTACTAAGTAACGAAACATTTCACCAGGAGATTACACTATCCCTGTTCTTTCGTTTATTTAACAAAGATGTTTACTTAATGCCAATGTTCTGAGCACCTGGGAAACAGCAATGGACAATGCAGATTTGGTGCCCGTCCTCATTTCCAAGTCCTCAGCATCTGCTTCCTGTATCACAATGACGTCCAACTGACTTCCTGCATTAGTCCTGCCCACTTCCATCCAGCCCATCCTGCTACCAGAGAGAAAGCACAAGTCCAGTCATGTCACTGCCCTGTTGCTAACATGTCAATTGGCAACTCTGCTTTACCTACAGAATACAATCCAAAATACTTAATACAGCACAAAGTGCCTGTAATCTCCCTACT